AAATTCTCTATCACACATGTTTCACCCTTGTCATTCTGCATCACATCTTTGATTATGATCCCTTTCTTCACATCTTATATGGGACTAATTTGGTTTCCTCCCATTTGTTTCCTTTTTTTTTGGTAGATTAATAGGACGAATACAGGTCAAGCGGAGAACGTGAAAAATTTGAGTGACAGCAGACAAGTGTAATTATTACCGTCAAAAGGCATATATTCTATGAATCTGACGTCGACAGATCGATCGCGTGTGAATTCAACAAAGTCCGCCACCTCCTGATCATTTATGCCACGCATTACAACGCAATTGACCTTTATCGGGCGTAGTCCGAGCGAAATTGCCTGGTCGATTGTCCTGATGACTTGATTCAAGCCTTGGAACAGATCATAATAAACGGTTAGTCACCCACACAAAAAAGCATTAGCGCAGATAACCGCCGCTGCATTCTCCATCAATTTTTCTCTACCTTTACGCCGAGTAATTAATTCGAATTTTAATGGATCGAGTGTGTCTAAACTGATGTTTAACAGATTTAACCCATTTTCGACAAGTTGAGGCAATTTTTTCGGTAAAGCAATGCCATTAGACGTCATTGCAATGGTCTGTAGACCAAGCGGTTTGAGCTTATTGAGTTCCCCTTTAAATTTATATGGCAAGCAAAGATTTAACAGTGAGAATACTATAACCTGTGAAAAACATTTCAATCGTAGCGCATCAAAAATTTACTCACCGACTAGATCAACAATGTCTTTGCGTATAGTTGGCTCCCCTCCAGTCAAGCGTATCTTTGTGACGCCCTGAGAGACGAATAATCGTGCTATTCGAATGATCTCGTCGGAAGAGAGTAATTTGTCGGAAGGAGTTAGATCAATGCCCTCTGCTGGCATACAATAAGTGCATCTTAAGTTGCATCGTTCGGTCACCGAAATACGTAGATAAGTGTGTTGTCGGTTGAACTTGTCGGTCAGAAAGTTGCTGAACGGTCGTTCTTTCTCTATTGTGGCTATCTTTGCCTATGATATTACAAGGGATTGAGGTGTTAGTAATTTCTATGAAAACGGTAACGCAATGACCACACATCGACGAACCTGTATTCGTTGTCTTGCCTCATCATGTCCTACGCCTATTGTCGACGTACTAGTCGGTTTCGAAGACGAGACATACCGCTTAATACGGGGCCTTTGTAGATATAATGAATTTGATGTCGATTTTAGCGTTCTCATCACTTTGTGGGTAATGAAAAGATGATATGACAGATCGACGAGCACGCCATTAAAAAGGGTAAGGAGATTGACTTTATCTTATCAGTTTGTTTAAACAAGGTCTATTTTTGATGATAACGGGTTTTCACTAACCATATTTATGCACATAACCGCCAAAATTTTCCGTGATATTGTCGATCAAATTAGATAAAAGGGGCACAATATGATTGTCAACATGTACAACGTCTATTTTGGTTGTTGTAACGTTACCCGATATCGATATTGGGTATGTAAATCTGTTTCGAGATGTGTAACAGACACCTTAACGTTAACTTTACCATGTGCCCGATAAGGAAAGTCGATATATTTTACCAATTACAATCACTCCCTATTACTATTACTATTACTATAACCATTGGTGTCAAAATAGCTCTATGTCTGCTCACTTTAACTCTGTCCCTGGTGTCCTCCACTACCACCCTAAATTCTCTATCACACATGTTTCACCCTTGTCATTCTGCATCACATCTTTGATTATGATCCCTTTCTTCACATCTTA